GGGTCAGTGAGCCAGCCATATGGTCCTGCTCTCTATGCATTGGCTGCTCTGAGCAGGGATAGCATCCTCAAGGCTTGGTGGGCCAAGATGTGCTCCACTCTTTCTTCCTCCCCCTTCATTTGCTCCCGTGTGCTCTGATCAGACATGTCCCTCTCCCTGAGCTCTAGCTTCAGTGCTGTCCTCTGAAGTGAATTCTTCTCTGGGGAGGGGGTGGCTGTCTATGTAGTTGGGATTGGGGCTGATCCCTCAGACTGAAGGAGGTATTATAATTGGAGAATTACAGTCATCCCTTGGAAGGGAAGGATAAACAACACAAAAAATACAAGTCATTTATTTGATTTTATAAGAACCTTGGGGAATCCTGGTGACAGAGTGGGTTACATGTTGGGCTGCTAACCACAAGGTTAGCTGTTCAAAACCACCAGTCACTATGAGGGAGAAAGGTGAGGCTTTTTGCTTCTATAAAGATGTACAGTCACAGGAACCTATGGACAGTTCAACCCTGTCCTATAGGATTGCTCTACCTCAATGGCAATGAGTTTGTGGGATTTTTTCATATGAGCCTTGAGTCTTTCAGGGCATAAAAAGACAAGACTAATAGGAACTTGTAGATATCTGATATGCACACTCACCAAGACCTTTGTCCATCTAGACATAACCAACCCAACTCACAGTCCCTACCGTAACCCCCTACCTCCCATGCTTCTACCCCAAGGGCTGGAGAGAATAAACATTCACTCATTGTCATTGAGTTAGTTTCAACTCATAGTGACCCTTTAGAACAGAGTAGAACTGCCTCTGGGGGTTTCCAAAGCTGTAAAACTTTACAGAAGCAGAAAGCCTCATCTTTCTCCTACAGAGCAGCTCTTGAGTTTGAACTGCTGATCTTGTAGTTAATCCACTGGCCTAATTCACGGACCACTGCCCCCCCAGAGCAACTTTCTTAGGGTTAGGGAAGCACATAAAAGGAGATGTCTTGAATCAATTATTCCTGGTCTCCTTCCTTGTCCTTCTTGTTTGGCTCTTGCTGAACTCGCACCCTCAATATACTTATACCCATATCTTAGCACAGATACCGCTCTTCATTTAGACGCTTCCTCAGATGTCACCCCTTAAAGAGATCTTTCCTTCTGAAGTTGTCCCCTTGCTTCTCCCCAGACCCCCAGACACTCACTGTTGATTTATTCTGCTTCATTTTCCCTATGGTACTTATCACTGACTGACACTTCATCATGTCATGAGCCGTGTTCTGTTTCCCCGACTGAAAGTTTAGTTCCATGAAGGTAGGACCTTTGTCTACCACCAAGAACAGTACTTAACACCGAGTAAGTAACATTCAGTAAAGATTTGTTTAAATTATTGAATTTTTTTATTGCCTAATATCATTAAAAAACAGAAACAACCAACATTGGTTTACAGATTGAGTTCTTGGCTTTTTAAGGTAAACCTGTCACCAATTATTTAGTACAAATCTTCATTTTATAAAGTAAAAGGCATTTTAATTCTAAAAATAGCAAAGATATTCTTGTAAAACTAACTTCCATTGAATGATGCTAACTCATACATAGCTACCCTATAGGACAGATTATAACTGCTCCTTTGAGTTTCTAAGAGTAACAGTTTACAGGAGTAGAAAGCCCCATCTTTCTCCCTCAAAGCAGCTGATGGTTTCCAACTATTGACCTTTCCAATCACAGCCCAGTGCGTAACCACTGTGTCAGCAGGACTCCTTGAATAAAATAGCGTTTTTAAATTTCTGAAAAACTCGCTATTGTGTTTTATTTTTCTCATTTTCACCATGGACTGGTGTTTGGCAACCACCACTTTTGAGCATCACCTGCTCACGCTCAGGGCACACTGTGCTCCCAGAGAACAACCTCCATGTTGTGTTTTGTAGATTGTGACAGACCAGCAGACAGGACAGAAGATCCAGATAGTCACTGCAGTGGACACCTCTGGATCCCCCAAACAGCAGTTCATCCTAACCAGCCCAGATGGAGCTGGAACTGGGAAGGTGATCCTGGCTTCTCCAGAGACATCCAATGCCAAGCAGCTCATATTCACCACTTCTGACAACCTCGTCCCTGGAAGGATCCAGGTAAGATTGCTAGGCATTTATTTCAGCACTGCTGCTACTGACTTGTTCCCTACTCTTAACCTCTGCCTTAGGGGACCAAGTCCCAAGGCAATGACAAATTGCTGAATTGGCCATAGTTTCAAAAAAAGAAGAAGAAGAAGAAAGGAAAAAACCCGCAAAGGAGGGCAGCCAGGTTCCATGATTGAGATGGAGGTGAACCAGGAAAAATCAGTAGCCTACAGGAGGTTGGCTATGAGTAAGCTGACACTAAAGCCACTGGTGGCCACATGGTGGCAGCCTGTGGCTCACCATCTAGGACTAACCACAGCACTCACATTCCTGACTCTTCCCTCTTCCTTTTCCAGATGGTCAAGACAGGACCCTAGTCTTTTGTTGCTCCTATGAGCACTGACTCTGACTCCCCCAAATCTTACCTCTCTTGACCCTGGTCCATCCTCCCTAATCCATCAGGAATGAGTGGAGCCAGGTACAGGGTATAGGAAGGAAAAGTAAGGAGTGTTGGCCCAGAGGTCGGAGGGAATTGGGGTTGTTGGGAATGTCTAACATAGAGAATCAAGACTGAGGCCAGTGTCTCAGGTTGAGTCAGCCTCAAGATGCTTTCTCTGAGGCATTGGAGAAACGGGAAGAAAGGACTTTTTTTTTTCTTCTAATAGAACTGGGTTCAGAACACCATTAAGTTCAGATTTCATAACTGCTTTTGAGACACTTTATATTGTAGTTAGTAAGAACTGTCTCCTTCCTTCCTTAGAGTACATTCTAATCATCTGAAATCAAAATTCCTCCCTTCAGATTTAGTGGGGCACTCATTTGTGAAAGGATGGCTGCATGTTGCCTGTTTCATAAGAGGTGATTCTGCATAATGATTTCTGTATATATTCCCACCATACATAAAGTCAATTTAAGGCTTATTATTGGCCCAAACTGAGGACACTTAGTGACAGTTACCCCGCCCCACACACACCTTCCCCAATTTTCATATTGATATTAGCTGCTGTTTTCTCTCCGATGAGTAGCACACTTTGTCATCTAAAAAGCTGGTGCAAGAGAAAAGGACAGCAGATTTCAGAGGCTACCTATTCCAGTCCTGTCACGTCCAACTGGCTCAGTGAGAAACCAGTTATTTATTTAGTAGAATTGGACTGTTTCTCTGCCAGATTCACTTCTTTGCATACCTTCCAATTGCTTCATGAAAACAAAGAGGCTGCCAGGCACCATAAGCATCCCCATGTTGGACTATCCGTGTATGGCTTCCCTTATATCCCCAGACCTGCGTGGCTGACGTCACCAGATGATAGATGATTATGGAGACCCCGCCTGACCCTAGAAAGTCACTTGTGGAAAGAATGCAGTCAGTGAGCAGCAGGGGCATTTTGGGTAACATACTAGGTTGTGGTTGGAATTTTCCCAATTGTCCTGCTTTACAATCCCAAGATTAGGAATTTTAGTCAGTGCCTTGCTTGTTTCCTGATTTCTTCTTAGATCGTCACAGATTCTGCCTCTGTTGAGCGTTTGCTGGGAAAGGCTGACGTCCAGCGGCCCCAGGTGGTAGAGTACTGTGTGGTCTGTGGAGACAAAGCCTCTGGTGAGTAACTCAAGCACACACGATGCAATCCATGAATGAAGCCATGAACTTATTTGGGGTTAGGGTAGTTAAAAAGAAAAACGCATTTTCTGTAGATTCCAACATGTCGACTTTACTGTTCTGGATGACTAGTAATCTAAGTAAACCAACCTGTTTTTCAGGGCTATTAAGATAAAAACGAAATGTCAAGACACTGCTGTGATTTGTAAATATCGATTGGGTTTCTAACATACAGTTGCTACTTAGTATAGTACTAAGAAAGTAAAAATTTCTCAATTCCATAGTGCTTGGCTGTTCCACAAGGTGGTTGTGTAATATCCCTCCATCTGAACTCCACCTACCTATCTCATTATAGTCCAGTGTGCTCGGTTCTATTTTATTTTGCAGTCACAAGGTATTTAGGAAGCATTGTGGTCTGACTTAAAAGAGAGAGCACCATGACTCTTAGCCAGGTACCCCTAGGCAGACATCTGCCTCTGCTCCCACCCTTTGTCCCTGGAAACCAGCCTATCCCTGCCTCTTCTCAGGAGCCCTAACCTACTTCATCTGTTTCTCCTACTGGAACACAGGGGTGCCTCTGGTATTTGTCACCGTTTTATACAGATCTTGCTAGGAATTTGTTGTACTGTCTTAACCATTTATCTCTGTGAACCCCATCTTGCTTATCAAGGAGAAAGCATTCAGCAAACTTGTTACAGAGGCTACAGAATCTGATTGGCGTTCCCATTTGTCAGTCTTCTGGACTTAAAGGAAAGACCTAGTCACAGAGATTACACTAAAGGGGAAAAAACCCCAAGCAATAAACTAGAAGGAAAAGTAAAACAATTTATACAAAATAATTTTAATAATATTTTTTAAAAACCAAAACTATATTTTTTAAATATACAGCAAACTCCAAGACTTCATTCTTTTTAAAAAAAATCATTTAAAAAAAAAATCATTTTATTGGGGGCTTATACACCTCTTATCATAATCCATACATACATCAATTGTGTATGTATTTGCACATTTGTACATTCATTCATTGCCCTCAACATTCTCAAAACATTTGCTATTCATGTAAGCTCTTGGCATCACCTCTTCATTTTCCCCCTCCTTCCCTGCTCCCCTCTCCCTCATGAACCCTTGATAATTTATATATTATTATTATTATTTTGTCATATCTTACCTGTCCGATGTCTCACTTCCCCCACTTTTCTGTTGTCTGGTCCCCAGGGAGGAGGTTATATGTAGATCCCTGTAATCGGTTCCCCCTTTCCACCCCACCCTCCCGTTATCAACACTCTCACCTCTGGTCCTGAAGGGATCATCCGCCCTGGATTCCTTGTGTTTCCAGTTCCTAACTGTACCAGTGTACATCCTCTGGTCCAGTCAGATTTGTAAGGTAGAATTGGGATCATGATGGGGGGGGAGGGTGCGGCGACATTTAGGAACTAGAGGAAAGTTGTATGTTTCATCATTGCTACACTGTACCCTGACTAGCTCATCTCCTCCCTGTGATCCTTCCATAAGGGGATGTCCAGTTGCCTGCAGATGGGCTTTGGGTCCCCATTCCACACTCCCCCTCATTCACAGTGATATGAATTTTTTTTCTTTGATGTCTGATACCTCATCCCTTTGACACCTTGTGATCACACAGACTAGTGTGCTTCTTCCATGTGAACTTTGTTGCTTCTGAGCTAGACGGCCACTTTGTTTACCTTCAAGCCTTTAAGACCCCAGACATTATATCTTTTGATAGGTGGGCACCATCAGCTTTCTTCACCACATTTGCTTATTCACCCGCTTTTTCTTCAACGATTGTGTCGAGAAGGTGAGCATCATAGAATGCCAGTTTAATAGAACAAAGAATTCTTGCATTGAGGGAGTACTTGAGTGGAGGCCCAATGTCCATGAGCTTCCTAAATAGTAAGCCTATAAATATATGCACATAGATCTATTTCCCTATCCTCATATATAAATATATTTACATATGGACATGCCTTTATTTAGACCTCTATAAATGCCCTTTGCCTGCTAGCTCTTTCCTCTCTTTCCTTTTACTTTCCTCTTTTCCCACTATCATGCTCAGCCATCATTTGGGTTTCAGTAATTCCTCTTGGTTACATTACCCTTGATCATGCCCTACCAGGCCTCTTACACCCTCCTCATCAACGATTTGGATCGCTTGTTGTTCACTTGTCCTTGGGTTTGTTAACACCATTTCCTTTCCTCCCCCACTTCCCCCTCTCCCCTGTACCCCCCGAAACTGTCGATCCCACTGTGTTCTCCTCCAGATTGTTCATCCAGCCTATCTTATTTAGACAGACCTGCGGAGATAATAACATGCACAAAAATAAGAGCAAAACCAAGGAACAAAAGAAAACAAAACAACAACAACAAAAAGCCAATGATTAAAAAAACAGAACAACAATAAAAAGGAGAAGGTTGTACTTAGTTAAAGGACTGTTTCTTGGCCTTTAGGAGTGTTTTTCGGTTGAGTCTGATGGGGTGCCAAGCCTTAGCCCCAAAGTCTATTTTTGGTATTCCCTGGGGACTTCGTTGCTCTGTTCCCCTTGCTGTTCTTTTGTACACCCTTCTTGTTTTGCCTTGGTGTAATGGGATCAGATCAGGCACAATTCCCACGCTGTGTCTCCAGTGTTGTCCTCTGTAAGGCTATGGGTCAGTGAGGGATGTTGTGTCGCATAGTGGGGCTGGCCATACGGTCTTCTCTGTGAATTGGCTGCTCCGAGCGGGAATATCATTCTCAAGGCTTGGTGGGCCAGGATGTGCTCCACTCTCTTCCTCCCCCTTCATTTGCTCCCATATGCTCTGATCAGACATGTCCCTCTCCCTGAACTGCAGCTTTACTGCTGTCCTCTGAAATAAATTCTTCGTGGGGAGAGGCAGGTATCCACATATTTGGGTATGGGGTCAGCCCCTAAGACCTCTCCACTGGTTCCCTGCTCCATGCCAGCATGTTGCATTCACATCTTGGAGCACCAAGTTGAAGTCTGGCCCCTCTTTCTCTGTGGAGATATAAACAATACCCTCCCCTTGGGTGGGTTAGT